CGGGGATGAAGGCCGGAACAGAATTGAGGGAGCCTCGAGGCCCCCAGACGGGAGAAAAAGAGAGACCAAATAGGCAGGCCCTAAAGATCAGTGCGCTTACTGCAAAGAACGGGGGCACTAGAAAAACGAGTGCCCTAAGAGGGACCCGAAGAGAGGAACAACCCAGAGAGAGAGAATCTCCCCTGGAACTCGAGTTCTATACGCGGGGGAAAACAATGACTAGGGGAGTCAAGACTCGACACCCCTCCCCGAGTCCTAGGTAACCATACATGTGGAGGGGAAACCCGTTGGCTTCATGGTGGACACTGGTGCCCAACACTTTGTTTTAAACCAAAAACTGGGTTCAATGTCTAAGAAAACCAGCTTGGTGCAAGGAGCCACGGGGACAAAAAGATATTGTTAGACCACGGAACAGAAAGTAAATCTGGGGACCCACCAGGTGTCCCATTCGTTTTTGGTGATACCAGAATGCCCAGCCCCTCTACTTGGATGGGACTTGTTGACTAAAGTTAATGCTCAGATCCATTTTGACCCTGGGGGAATGTCAGTCACGGATGGACTTGGACAGCCGATACATGTCTTGTCTCAAGCTTTAAGAGATGAATACAGACTTTTTGTGCCTAAGCCCTCAGAGGTTATAGCACCAGATATACAACCGTGGGTCCACAAATACCCGTTGGCATGGGCACAAACAGCAGGAATGGGACTGGCTAAACAGAGACATCCGGTCGTCATCGAACTAAAAGCCGAGGCAACTCCTGTGAGGGTGAAGCAATACCCTATGAGCCAGGAGGCTCAGCGGGGGATCACTCCCCACATTCGACGGCTCATGGATGCCAGAATTCTCAAGCGGGGCCAATCCCCTTGGAACACCCCCTTACTACCGGTGAAGAAGCCAGGGAGTACGGATTACAGACCTGTCCAAGACCTGCAAGAAGTCAACAAGCGGGTGAGTGACATACACCCTACTGTCCCCAACCCGTATACCCTCCTGAGCAGTCTGCTGCCTGAGTACACATGGTACACTGTGTTGGACTTGAAAGATGCTTTTTTCAGCCTATCCCTGGTGGCCCAGAGCCAGGAGATATTTGCCTTTGAGTGGACTGAGGGAGAAGGCCAACCGGTAGTACAACTAACTTAGACCCGCCTCCCACAAGGGTTCAAAAACTCCCCTACCTTGTTTAATGAGGCTTTGAGTGAGGACCTCTATGAATATCAGACTCGCCACCCAGAGGTCATCCTGCTGCAATATGTGGATGACCTTATGTTGGCTGGAACCACAGAGGAGGCTTGCAGCCCACCACTGGTGACCTCTTACAGACTCTAGGCACCTTGGGATATCGTGCTAGCGCAAAGAAGGCGCAAATATCCCGGCAAGAGGTCACCTATTTGGGGTATAAGATCAGGCAGGGGCAAAGGTGGCTAACTCAGGCCATGAAGGAAACAATATTGCAGATACCAGAGCCCAAGACCCCCCGCCAGGTGAGAGAGTTTTGGGGGACTGTTAGATATTGTAGACTGTGGCTCATGGGGTTTGCTGAGAAGGCCCGGCTCTTGTATGAGGGAAGTAAAGAGACCCCAAACTGGACTTGGACTGAGCCAATGAAACAGGCTTTCCAGACACTCAGATGGGCCCTACTAGAAGCCCCAGCCCTTGCCCTGCCTAACCCAAATAAGCCATTCCAGCTGTTTGTAGACGAAAAGCAAAGAATAGGAAAGGGGGTCTTGACGCAACAATGGGGACCATGGAAGTGGCCAGTGGCATACCTTTCAAAGTAATTGGACCCGGTGGCCTCTGGGTGGTCCCCTTGCCTCCGCATCATTGCAGCCACTGCCCTCCTCATCCACGACGCCGACAAGTTGACGTATGGACAGCAACTCTGGGTTTACACCCCCCACACCATCGAAGGGGTTTTAAAGCAGCCGCCGGGTAAGTGGATCTCCAATGCCCATTTGACACATTACCAGGCTCTGCTCCTTGATGCCCCACGGGTCCGTTTTCAGACCCCTTGCTTCCTGAATCCAGCCATGCTTCTACCTAACCCAAAGAAAGACCGCCCTCTCCATGACTGCAGTGAGATACTGGCTGAGGCCCTGGTGGCTCGAAAAGACTTAACTGATGTGCCGCTAAACAACAGTGAGCTAGTATGGTTCACTGATGGGAGCAGCTATGTAAAAGATGGACAAAAGAAGGCGGGAGCTGCTATAGTTGATGATTCAGGACAGACAATATGGGCTGAGACACTTCCCCTAAACACGTCTGCACAAAAAGCAGAGTTGATTGCCCTAATACAGGCTCTGGAACAAGCAAAAGGGAAGAGACTCACAATTTTTACGGACAGCCGATATGCTTTTAGCACTGTCCATATTCAAGGTCCGATATACCAGGAAAAGGGATTTAGAACAGCAGAGGGAAAAGAAGTCAGGAATTTGCCCGAGATCTGCAGGCTCCTAAAAGCTGTTCAACTGCCCCGGGCAGTAGCAATTGTACATGTCCCCGGTCACCAGAAAGGAGAAGACCCTAGGGCATGGGGCAATCGGGCTGCTGATGCGGCCGCTCGAAAAGCAGCCAGCCGGGACTACGCCGCCCCCATATTAGCCGTGGGACTTCCACCTCCTGGTATGGAGACTCTGCCGCCAGTCCCCGACTATTCCCCCTGACCTCGTTTGGATCAACGAGGATACCACCCTCCAGAAAGATGACAAAGATGGATGGTACCGAGATCAAAACAACAACCTGATATTGCCTGCCATCCTGGGTCATCACCTATGTGAACACCTGCACACAACTACACACTTGGAAGAAAAAAAGACCTTGACACTTCTCCAGACGGCCTGCCTGAGGTTCCCTCGACAAAATGCAACTGTACGAGAGATAATCCAGGCTTACAAAGCGTGCCAGCTGATGAAGACAGAGAAAAGGCAGCACACTGGAAGGAGGTACCGAGGGAAAGGGCCAGGGAAACACTGGGAGATAGATTTCACTGAGGTAAGACCAGGCAAGTACGGGTATCGCTATCTGTTGGTTTTGGTAGATACCTTCTCGGGGTGGGTAAAAGCCTTCCCCACTAAGAGGGAGACAGCAACCGTGGTTGCTAAAAAGATCTTAGAAGAGATAGTGCCTAGGTACGGGCTGACAGTGACTATGGGCTCTGATAACGGACCTGCCTTTGTGAGCCAGATTGTACAAGGGCTGGCCCAAGCTCTGGGGACAAAATAGAAGTTACATTGTAAATATAATCCCCAGAGCTCAGGACAGGTTGAGAAAATGAATTGGACCCTAAAAGAAACTTTGACAAAGTTGACAATAGAGACTGGCGGGGACTAAGTGACCCTCCTTTCCTTCGCGCTCTTTTGAGCGCGTAACACCCCTTATAAGCTGAATCTTACCCCTTTTGAGATTCTGTATGGAAGACCCCCCCTCCTGTGTGTCCTATATTCGAGGGAAAATGCCTACCACCCCCTACCTTGAGACAATTCCAGCAAACACTGATGGCATTAAGTAAGGTGCATAGCCATGTTTGGAAATTAATTCGAGAGATACACGAGGGAACAAGCAAGGGGACCATCCCCTCACATAATATTGGCCCGGGTGATTGGGTTTGGGTAAAACAACACCAATCTAAAGCATTAGAACCTAGATGGAAAGGCCCTTATGTTGTTCTCCTTACCACTCCTACTGCTGTTAAGGTCGACGGGATCGGGCCCTAGGTTCACTACAATCACGTGCGGCAAGCCACCCCTGAAGAGCAGGAGAAAGCGCAAGCAGAATGAGAGGCAAGACCTCACCCGTCAAATCCTTTGAAACTGAAACTCGTACAACGAGAGCCCTCCTAACTCTCCTGCTGATAACAATTTTCATCAGCCCAGGAGCAACCAGCCACAACCCCCATCAGCCGGCTAACCTGACTTGGGTGATCTGCAATCCTGAGACTGGAGAAGTGCTTAATTCGAGCTCCAACGTGGCCCCCAGAGGGACATGGTGGCCAGTACTGACCTTTGATTTGTGCGTGCTGGCGGCTGACGGTAGTGGGTTTGGTCCCCACCAACTGCCAAGAGTCCCTGAGCTCCTTGGCTGAAGTAGTGTCACAGAACAGGAGAGGTTTAGATTTGTTGTTTCCGCAACAAGGAGGATCATGTGCGGCACTGGGAGAAGAATGCTTTTTCTATATCGACCATTCAGGGGTGGTACAAAAATCTCTCCAGAAAGTAGGAGAGGGACGAGCCCAGCGGAAGAGAAACGAGAAGCCCAACAAGGCTGGTTGAATCTTGGTTTCAGCGCTCCCCCGGTTGACCACTTTGATTTCCACCCTCCTGGGTCCACTCATAATATTGATATTGTTACTGACCTTTGGTCCATGCATTTTACACCGTCTGGTCTCATTTATTAGGGAGCGCCTAAATACCATCCAAATTACGGTATTGAGGCAACAATATCAGCCAATTTCACAGGGTGAAGAGAAGGATTCCTCTACAAAAGTACAAAGACAGGCGGGAAATGTGAGGCTGTCACGGCTAACGCCATGACAGGCAGCCTGGATTAGGAGTGGGCCTGGTTTCCCGGGGTAACATAATTATCAGGCTTCCTGGAGCTAGCCAATCAACATGTGCCTAGCAAGAAAAAGAGAACCTATCAGGGGAAAGCTGAAAGCCCCACAGTTGGGCCAATAAAAATTGCCTTGCAACTGTGTAAACAATCCGCTTGCGCCAACTACCTGCTGCTTTTTTTGACCTAATAAATACCCGAGAGAACTGGGGCTCGGGGCCTTTTCATCCTCACACCCTCGGTGAGGGCGGGAGGCCCTGGCTCAAGTCAGTAATAAATTCCCCTATTACAAGTTGCATTGTTTCGAGGAGTCTTCTTTCCTGACCTGGGACTCGGACTATGGGCAGAACATTCTCTCTTAAGCAGAAAAATGTGCACATGCACAGCCCCATCCTCAGACCCAAACTCTGCTTCTTTCCTGCCCAAACTTTACAACCAACAGGTAACAAACAACCTGAAGCAGAAACAAGGCCATTCGGAGGGTCCTCAGGAGGGGTGAGTCCCAAGGCTGAGAGAGACATATTTCCTTAGGACGGTCCTCCCATCGGAGGACCGGAGGGACGTGACATCACACATAAGCAGTACTTCCACGGGGAACACAGGCCTCACAAGCATGCACGACCGGTTGCTTTTTCACCATCAAGCTGCCGCCCTAGCATGTAGGACTCGCTCCAGCGCCGCCAACTCGTCTCACGCGGGCACGCTTGCGCAGATCTTTAGAGGTCATATTAAAGCGCTCCCACCGCTGAGACTTCTGGGAAATGGAGTCGGCCAAGGCCGGGCTACGGTTGGGAGCGTGGGCGTCAGACTCCGCGCAGGCGCACTGCTCTCCCGACCCGAAGAGGCGCCGTCTTCCTGGGTCCTGAGCAGCCCGTGCAGGAGGTGAGAGCTGCGGGTGTGTACTGTTGCGCCGCAGAGAGAGTGGGCTACTGAGAACTTGGGGGAGGTGCAGTAGCAGTAGAAGGGGTGAAGCGGGCGGAGCCAGCCTGCAGAATGTGTGTGTGTGTGTGTGTGTGTTGTGCGCGCGGCGACGTCCCTGCTCGGACAGGTGCGGACCAGGAAAGTTGTACCCGCATCCCAGTGTGTGTGTTCCGTGTGGGCACTGTTAGCGGTGGCCTTTCGGCGTGCCCCCATTATATGTCAGATCCCAGCTCTGCGGTTGGAAGTTTGGGGGCTTCCTTCGCCCCTCCGGTACCTTCTTCTCATAACAATTGCTTAATAAACGTGGGTGGAATTGACACTAAATTTAGGGTTCTGCCCACTCCAGTTCCTCTCTTTTCCAAAAAGCGCCTCAGATTGTCTCGTTTAGCTCTCCTCCCTAGACCTCCGTAAGAGTGATTAGGGGGCCTTCGTGGGGGAGGTAGGACTTGATGTGGGGGAAAAAAATACGAAAGAAGTAGCGAAGTGATAGGCAGATTTGAGAAGGAAATGTTTTTTATAAGAGTGAAGCGTCCAGGAATAGTGGGAGACAAGGATGGGGAAAAGCACACTGTGGTCAGGGCATAGAGCATCAGGACAAGACACGGTCAGAAGGATGGATTGTATGGGGCGGATCAGGGGTTGACAGGAATAAAGCTAATTTTGGTGCTTTTATTCTAGAGGTCACATTCAGAACTAGAGAGGGGAAGGGACTAGTGTAGGGAGCCAGTCAGGAATGCTTGGTAGTGGTCATATTCCTGAATCAAGCTGTCATGAGCCTGAATTATGATGGTGTCAGTGGTAGGGAAAGATATAAATGACATTGCAAAAGAGGAGTCCGAAGGACCTGGTGACTAACTAGATTTGGGAGGTAAGAGAGCCAGGAAAGAGTTTGAATTTGGGGCAGCTGGGAAAATAATAAAACATCTGCTCTAAGTGTAAGGGCTTCCTTGTGGCTCAGCAGTAATGAATCTGCCTGCCAACACAGAAGACACAGGTTCAATCCCTGGGTTGGGAAGATCCCCTGGAGGAAGAATTGGCAACCCACTCCAGTATTCTTGCCTGCACAATCCCATGGACAGAGGAGCCTGGCAGACTATAGTCCATGGGGTCACCAAGAATCAGACACAGCTTATTGACTAAATAACAAGGAGAACTGTAAGGGCAGGGAAAGGAATTGATGTGGGGAACTGCATAGGAATAGATGGTTTTAAGATGCTGACAGAATGCCTAACTCAAAATACTTGGTCATTTGGAAATGCAGGATGAGTTTGGAAGAGGGAGTGGGACTAGATTCAAGAAGCATTTCTGTAGAGGTGGAAAATGGAGCATCAGGTGTGGATGGACTTTCTGCGAGACAGCAAGAACACTGTACACAGTCTGAGCGCTGGGCAGCATGAGAAACTTGCCAAAACAGTCAAAAAGCTTCAGAGAAATAAGAAGAGGACTGTTGGAATCAGAGCTCATAAATACCTTGGTATTTTTCAAGCATACAGTTTCAGGTGTGTGCGGGGTGTGTCTGACTCTCTTGTGACCCCATGGACGCAGCACACCAGGCTTTCCTGTACTTCACTGTCTCCCAAAGTTCACTCAAACTCATGTCCACTGAGTCAGTGATATCATCCAACCATCTCACCTTCTGTCACCCCCCTTCTCCTCCTGCCCTCAATCTTTCTCAGCATCAGGGTTTTTTTTTCCAGTGAGTCAGTTCTTCGAATCAGGTGGCTAAGGTACTGGAGCTTCAGCTTCAGCATCAGTCCTTCCAATGAATATTCAGGACTGATTTCCTTTAGGATTGACTGATTGGATCTCCTTGCGGTCCAAAGGACTCTCAAGAGTCTTCTCCAGCGCCACAATTTGAAAGCATCAATTCTTCAGCGCTCAGACTTCTTTATGGCCCAACTGTCACAGCCATACATGACTACTGGAAAAAACATAGCTTTGACTATACAGACCTTTGTCGGCAAAGTGATATCTTTCCTTTTTAAATATGCTGCCTAGGTTTGTGCTTTTCTTGCAAGGGGCAAGCACCTTTTAATTTCATGGCTGCCATCACCACCCAGAATGATTTTGGAGCCCAAGTCATGGCTTCTGCTTTTTTCATCTTCTGTTTGCCATGCATCTTAATCAATGTGTAATTCTCAAAAACACACACATATAAAATTACAATTTATCCTATCAATGAACATGCAAGTTGTTTGTAGTTTGCCCTAGTGATCTTTTCCCCACTTCAGGTTTGTGTTGCCACTGCAGTCACATATCAAGGTTTCCTACCTATGTGGATGTGTTTGGGGATTTTCTAGTTTATCAGTCTGTTTTTTACGTGGCTATCTTTTCATGAAAATAAATCATTATAACATAGAGATTTAAAAGTGCTGGTTGTTCCTGGGTTCAAATTCTGCCTCAGCCTCTTACAAAGCCTAAATTTCCTAGTCTGTAAAATAGTACCCACCTTACTGATTTATGAACAAGAATTCAACTGTTCTTGTAGAGAATACTTAGCATAGTGCCTGACAAGTAGCAAAAGTTCAGTAAATGCTAGTTATTACTAATATATCATAAAATAATATTTTAATATAACATTACTATATTCATATGGTATTATGATCATATCAGTGGTATTCCATTGTGTGTATGGACTGGGCCATACACAAAATGGATCAAATCCTGTATTTTAGAAACTTAAGATATTTCAAGTTTTTGCTCTTCTGGGACTTCCCTGGTGGTCCACTGGTTAAGACTCCACCTTGCGATGCAGGGGACACCAGTTCAATCCCTGCTTCAGGAAGGTTTCACATGCCACGGGGCAACTAAGCCTGTGCACAACTACTGAGCCCAAGATCTAGAGCCCATACTCCACAACAAGAGTAGCCCCCACTTGCCACAGCTAGAGAAAGCTCATGCACTGCAACCAAGACCCAGTGTAGCCCAAAATAAGTAAAATTTCTTTTTTTTGCTCTTCTGTAGATTAAATGAGATGACATATAATGCTTAGGACGTTGCCTCATGGCACTCAGTAAAGGTTAGCGTTACTGATAGTTAATAAAAAGCTTTGCGTATGTTTTTCCTTAGGCATAACTCCATAAGGGGAAGTTGCTGGGTCAAAAGTATGTGTTTTAAGGCCCCTGATACAAATTACAAATTCTCCAGGCCGGAATACTGGAGTGGGTAGGCTTTCCCTTCTTCAGGGGATCTTCCCAACCCAGGGATCGAACCCAGGTCTCCCACATTGCAGGCGGATTCTTTACCAGCTGAGCCACCAGGGAAGCCCTTCTGGTAGGGTCAGAGCCTTATGGAAATCTAAATAAATACAGCTAGTCTACACGCGAACTGCGGTCTGGGCTGATGCTGGGGTGAAGTAGGTTTCAGGGGCCAGGGATTCTTGGGGCTTTGCTTTCAGCACTTCACCACCAACATACCTGCCTGTTAGTCTATTACAGCCTGTTCTCTACCCCATGCCCCCCACACTCATGGATTCTGCCTCCTGGTACCTTTGGCTACTGACCCTCATGGATACTTCTGTCCCTCATGATATACTTTCAGCTTATTGCCCACAGGTGGAACTAGGTTCCTTTTATTTTGGGAAAGCCTCTTAGGCTTTGTGTGAATCTTTGTCATTAACCTTTACTTGAGTTAACTGAGTATATCTCAGTTTCTCACATAAAGAGTCTAATTAAGACATAGTCAAATCAAGCATTTGAGGGATTCATGAGTGGGGTGCGGGGATTGTGTGGTCCTGAGAAGGAAGAGGGAAAGGTGTGTCTGAGTACTGTCCTGCAGTCAAGGCAGTGTATTCATTGATGCTTGTTATTCATTCACCCATCTAACTTGTGGTCCTGGCATTTCTTAGTTCACGATCCTGAGGATGGACGTCATCTTTTGAAACCAGACCACATATCAGTCCACGGGTCAGCCTCTGTACTGCCCACCTGTGGCTTAATCAGCATGGCCCCAGGCTTGAGCCTCAGGGTCATGTGGAACAAGCTGTGGCTGTCCCAGGGTTGCTCTGTTAGCACTGGGTGTTGCTGTGAATAGGGTATTTTTCCTTTGAAGAGGCTGTAGGTGTTTCCTTGACAGGACTTGTCCATATAGCCATTCATAAAACTTCTTATACTTTTTGTCTGGTAATCATGATGAACAATCTGATCTGATCCCAGATCCTCAGTCATGTCTGACTCTTTGCAACCTCATGGACTATAGCCCCCAGGCTCCTCTGCCCATGGGATTCTCCAGGAAAGAATACTGGAGTGGGGTGCCATTTCCTGCTCCTTCAGGGCATCTTCCCTACCCAGGGGTCGAACCCACATCTCTTACATCTACTGCACTGACAGGTGGGTTCTTTACCACTAGCGCCACCTGGGAAGCCCCATGATGAACAATATTTAATGTGAATTTATAAAGGCAATATGAGCCTTAATATATTCTCAACTGCCAGGAATAGAACTTTACCTCTAAGATCATGATAAAAACAAGCACCACATTGTATTCTGCACAGCCTTGCACTCCAACTCTGGGATGGGGTGGGCTTGCTCTTGGCCTTGCTTTTCTTTGCTTTCCCTTTGTGTAGGGTATTGAGGATGAGGGTGGGTACATAACTCACTGGTGTGTGGAGATTTCTTGCTTCATGGGTCATAAAACTACTAAACAAGATTGGTCTTTCTCACAGCCTGTTTCTCATCACACTTCTCTACCTCATTAGGACTCGGCTCTTCTCTGCAAGGAGAGCACGCTGGAGGGAATGGCTGCTGTGTCTCTGACCAGATGCCAGGTGAGGTAGACTCTTGTGTTTCTGAAACTATTAGGCTCCAGAACGTAACCACTTTTCTTTCTGTCTTGGGGGTTCTCTGCTCAAAGCTACCCAGGTGGAAAAAGGACTCCATAAGGAATGACTTGTGTTGGTATCTTTCAGTGACGCCTTCTTGCCTTGAATATGTGCCCGCTAGCCTGTCACCAGGGACACGCCTCCATTGCCTTCACTTTGATTTTGCCTTAAAACTGATGGTAGGGGTCTCATGAGAGGGTCTAGGGAGCAGCAAGCAGTTTCAAGTTCTGATTTCCCTTTAGTACATCCACAAATGGACTGAAAATAGGCCCCCATATTCCAGGGAGTGTTGCGTTAGGCAGAGAATGTGACACATACTATAAAGCACCAGTGAGGTTGAAAGAGTCCTGGAGAGAGAGTTTTTATGAGGGTAGAGACACACAGCTTACCCCCTTTCTGCCCCAGGGCAGGTTTTTTTTAAATTCTGAGCTCTGGCTTAGAACCTCGGCAGACACTCTGGAGACTCATCTGGGTTTTAGACTTGGGGATAAAGATGGAACTTACAGAATCAAAGAACATCAGAGTGAATTGAGAGAAAGCCTAGAGATGATCTAATCAACACCACTATTTGAAGGATTTGTCCATGCAAACAGACATAAGGGCTTCCCAGATGGCTCAGTGGTAAAGAATGCACCTGCCAGTGCTGGAGATGCTGGAGATTTGGGTTCGATCCTTGGGTTGGGAAGATTCCCTGGAGGAGGAAATGGCCACCCACTCCAGTATTCTTGCCTGGAAAATTCCATGGACAGAGGAACCTGGCAGGCTACATTCCATGGGTTACAAAGAGTTGGACGTGACTGAGCACGCACACGTACGCACACTCACATCAAGACAATTGGTGAAATTGGACTAAGTTTATAGATTAGATAATATCACTCCTCTCCTGATTTTTACAATTATACTGTCATTATACAAGAGAAAATCCTTGTTTTTACAAAATATACACTGAAACAGTAATAAGTAAAAAGACATCATGTTTACAAGTTACTTTAAAGAAGTTTGGAGAAAAGATAGGCACATGTGTATATTCTGAGACAAAAGATAAAACCAGTGTGGAAAATGTTAACATTTGGGGATGCTGGATGAAGGGTCTTTGTTCTATTCTTCCAAGTTTTCTGTAAGTCTGATAAAAGAGCCCCTGATACTCCAAGGCTCAGCTAGAAAGGTAGTGTGGGGTTGTGACCAAAAAGTCATGCCTCATGGCTTCATGGCACTTTCCCCAAATATTTCAAAACTGTTGTCTTTCCACTCCCATTTCCACTTTTCTTTCCACTCCCCTGGCATCCTCCAAGCTGTTGTCATATATGACAGTTTTGTCTGGTCCATGTAAGACAAGGATTATGAATAAGGGAGAACATGATTGTGTTTCCAGGACCCAGTGACATTCGAGGATGTGGCCATAGTTTTCACAGATGAAGAGTGGAGGCATCTGGTCCCTACTCAGAGGGACCTCTACAAGGAGGTGATGCTGGAGAACTACAAGAGCATCGTCTCACTGGGTAAGGAGAGCTTCCCACCAGGAGTAGACCCTGTACTGAATTGATGTGGAGTTGAGAGGCTAATATATTGACATCTCTTCTTCTCCCACCTGAGTTGGAACCCCTGAGAGACAAGACAAGAGCAGAGGGATGTGACTTAGCAGTTACAGTGACAGTGGTTTTCTTAATCCTGAACCCCAGCCTGGGACAGGCTTACTCCTTGAGCTGTAAGCAGACTGGACAACCACAGGCCCCTCACTGAGCAGCCTAGCCCTGCACCACAGAGGGCTCACCACAACTAGAGAAAAGCCCACACAGCAATGCAGACCCAGCACAGCCACAAATAAATAAAAATTTTTTTAAATGGTGAGGCAGAGCTGTGCTAATTAAAATAATAGTTTAAATTTATTATGTGAAAAAAATTAAGTTTACAATTCAGCATTATTCATTATCCAATTTTTTTAAGCCATCTGAGCCACCAGGGAAGCCCTCCAGTTTTAACTTTTGTTTTTTGTTTTTAATCGACAGCCTTCTGCCTAAAATGATCTTTTACACATAAAAGGGTCTGGAGTGTATTACATACAGTGAGTCATGATGGATTTAGAAATTATCAACTTGTAGACATCAAAATAAATCAAACAGAAATGATTTTAGATGGGGTAGCCTTATTTTCCAAATAATGCTCTCCAATAGTTTTTTTACCCCCAAAAAATTGAGATATAATGGTCATTATCCAGTTCTTAACAAAGTGTATCTATAGGTATCTTTCTGTATTAAAGTGAATGGAAAGAAAGAGATGAATACAAAATACAAAACATGAATTTTGTTATTGTCTATGCCTCTAGTTTTCCTACAATGAAAACAATCGACGTGTTTAAGTAAAATCATACTTAGTATGTGTATGTTAGTTGCACAGTTGTGTCCAAAAATAATTGTACTAAAGCATAAATAAGCAAAAATGGGCACCTACATTACACATTCTTACTCAAGGTACTCTTTTTTCATTCTCATCTTCCCTGAGGTAAGGACTCTTCCTGCCATCCTACCAGTGCTAGAGCTAGGAGCATCCCGCTCACTTCATGGGGAGGAATAAACACAGTAGTTCAAACAGAGCCTACCCACTCTGACTAGATGCTACTTGTCCCTTTGAGAACCTCCGTCCTGACCTCCATTCAGAGGTTCCTGCACGTCTGCATACCTGGTGTGCACTCCCTGCCTTCTGCATTTTCTCTCTGAAATCTTAAGAGGCTGGAATTTGCTTTGGAATCGTTGTGTATTTTCATCACATATGACCACTTGGCTTGTTTCTTTCTCTACGAACAGGACTTCCAGTACCTGGACCTGATGTGATTTTTCAGTTGAAGAGAGGGGATGAGCCTTGGCTAGTGGAGTTTCATGGATTTGAGGGGAAAGAAGGTGCAGAGAATGTCTCTTTAGGTAATTGAGTATGAACTGGCAGGAGAGTTTTGTTTTGCTTTGTGGTTGTTATTTAGGTGCATGTGGGAGGGAGTATTGGGTATCATATTTTTCCTCAAATTCAAGTCTTCTACTATATTGTTTATTCTCTGTCACCCAGTTTTCTTTCCCCCCCCTCTACACCTTAAAGTATTCTTCACCTTCATTCACCAAATGTTTACTTTCTCAGATTTGTCATGTTGTCCATTCAAACTTTGATTTTCCTATTCCTTACCATCCTCTCCACTTACCTGACACTCCTAATTAATCCAGCTATGCTCCCAGTGGAAATTCTCCTCTTTTTTGAGATTTTTCACTACCAGTTCTATTCCCTGTTTCAGTCCCAGGTCTTGGTTTCTCCCTAGAGTGCAATACTATTTGTGGGAGCAAGCAAAGTGATTGTCATTACTTTTCAGATTTATTACAGCATCCCTCCTTTCTGTGCTAACATTTCCTAACCCAGGAAAGAAACATTCATCTGTATCTTCTATCCATTCCAGATTGGGAGACTAAGCCTGAGATTCAAGGTACTTCAGAAGAAGAAAAATCAGAAGGATCATTGAAGGAAAACCTTGGAAGAAAAGGTCCTCCATCTCCTAAATTTGAAGTTTATGCACTGGATGGCAGGTTGGGAACAGAGAAGGAAAGCCCTACAGTTGAGGCCTGCAAGAAACCCCCTTCTCTGGAGGAAAGCTTGCGGCACAGGGCAACCCCTCCCAAGAAAATTCTCACTAAAGAGAGAGACCAGGAATGCAGCAACTGTGGTAAGACCTTTTTTGACCACTCCTCCCTCATCCGCCATCAGAGGACTCACACTGGTGAGAAGCCCTATGACTGTCCCGAGTGTGGGAAGGCCTTCAGCCACAGGAGCAGTCTCAGTAGACACCTGATGTCACACACAGGCGAGAGCCCCTACGAGTGCAACGCCTGTGGGAAAGCTTTTTTCGACCGTTCGTCCCTGACTGTACATCAGCGAATTCATACTGGAGAGAAGCCCTTCAAATGCGGCGAGTGTGGAAAAGCCTTCTTTGACCGCTCGTCCCTTACCCGCCACCAGAGGATCCACACTGGAGAAAGTCCTTATGAATGTAACCAGTGCGGGAAAGCCTTTAGCCAGAAAAGTATCCTTACGCGACACCAGCTAATCCACACGGGCCGGAAGCCGTACGAGTGTACTGAGTGTGGGAAAGCCTTCTATGGGGTCTCGTCACTGAACAGACATCAGAAAGCCCATGCTGGAGAGCCTCGCTACCAGTGCGGTGAGTGTGGGAAGGCTTTCTTCGACCGCTCCTCCCTGACTCAGCACCAGAAGATTCACACTGGAGACAAGCCATACGAATGCAGCGAGTGTGGGAAAGCCTTCAGCCAGAGGTGCCGGCTCACGCGACACCAGAGGGTTCACACAGGGGAGAAGCCGTTTGAATGCAGTGTGTGTGGGAAAGTCTTCAGTTCTAAGTCATCAGTTATTCAGCATCAACGGCGTTACGCCAGACAGGGAATAGACTGAGTGAGGCGAAAGCTTCAGTCCAAGGACCTCCACGAAAACTCGAGACAGGCCTTCCCCCTCTTAAAACCATCACCTGGTCATCACACCTATGCTGGCTACCCCTCTCCTTTTTCTGCCTCTCTGCACCCACAGTGTTTGAAGGAACACTGTCCACCCACTGTGTTACAGAGTTGATGTGGGATGCCAGAAATTAGAATGTGACTTTAAAGAGTCAGCATCCTGAAGACATTTGTCAGACACTAGGGACAAAGGTTAGGAGGCAATTCTCAGACAAACCTCTTGTCCGAAGCCCCAGGCATCAGTGCACTTTATATAACTGGAGGCCACAGCTGGACAGGAAAGGCACACTTATGTCAGAGCAGCACTGTTGTTTCCAGAAGTTCTTTTTTTTATAGCCGTTAGTCCGTCTCTCTCTCAGAGGATTTTGGGCACTGACCTTGTCCTGTTGTGTGCCAGCATCTAGATCTCTTAATACTACTAGTAGCTAGCACTTACTGAGCGCTTATTATGGAGTAAGCACTCAGCTGAGAGTTTTGCAAGGAGTAAATCATTTGGTCCTTTCAACAACCCTCTGAAGTAGGTACTGTTACTCCCCACAATTTACAGATGAGCAAACTGAAGTTTAAAGAGATTAAATAACTTGTCCAACGTAACGGCTAGTACAAGGAAAGTCAGGTCTTGAATACAGGGCTCCCTTCAAAATCTCTTTGCCATAAGGCTGTAAGGCTTGCTCTATAATTTACATGTGTGTTACCTGCTCAACTAGGTTGTTCGCAGAGGCCTGACTTACATGTCTGTATCTCACACAGTGCCTTACAAATAGGTGCTCAATAAATATTTATCTGAATTAATAACGTTTTGACTTACCAAGTTCTATTTAAAACACCTCTTAGATTCACAGTCTTTCTCTGAATTTCAGTCTCACCTGTACTTTTGTCATCTTGGGCTTCTATTACTGTAGTAGTCACTCCCTGATCTGAATTCCTTCCTCCTCTTTATTGAGGAGGGGGATATCAAGCTATGGCCCAATAACAGGCAAACCCCAAATAAACAAAGATTCATTTCTCACATAAAATCAGATGAGTCAGTCTTTCTTCCTCACCCTCATCATTTAGAATATGTTGCCTCCAATGTCATCATGGGGGATATTTTGGGATATTTTTAAGGGCCATCACTTATAAACCAGAACCCAGCACCAAAAGGCTAGAAGGTCAACAGGCACCTCAGTAATTGGTTAATATCAACAGCCCCTGTCACAAGTTACATTTTTCCGTATCACTGTTAGGTCAGCCTTTCCAAGTGACCCCCTTCCTGCCCACCATTGCCTTATTCAAGACCTAAAATAGCTCCCTGTTTAATGAAGGTGTCTCTAAATATTTAAAGTCTGCCCTGACATGACCCTGCATTACTCAACTTGAAGTCCTGACTCCCCAGATCCTTCTGTTCCCTGTTGTTTAGTCACTGAGTCATGTCTGACTCTTTTGACCCCATGGACTGTAGCCCACCAGGCTCCTCTGTCCATGGGATTTCCCAGGCAAGAATAATGGACTGGGTTGCCATTTCCTTCTACAGAGGATCTTTCCAACCCAGATCTTGAACCCATGTCTCCTGCACTGCAGGGGGAGTCTTTACCACTGAGCCACCAGGAAGTTCTATTTCCTGGGCCCTGCCCTATATTTTTATTTTCTTGAAGGTGAGGCACCAGGCAACTTTGATTCCAGGCATCTGCATTCCCTTTCTGTTTACTTAAGGTGAAGCCCAGAAGACCTGATTCTGAAAGACTGTCTGGAATGTAGCTACCCTGCATGAACCCTAATGGACCAAGATCCATTTCTCCCTGGGAGTTGAAATCTAGTTCAAGAAACTGGATTGCCAAACAGACCCTTCCCTAATCTACTCAACCCTACTGGTCTACCTGTCTTAAAGCAGATGGAACAGCAGAGAAGGCTTTTCACATGTCGACTTTCAAAGCAACTTGAGTTAAAACCAGAGTGCAGAATCTGTTGGAGTGGATAATATGTGCTATTATTTAATAATGTCAAGTAGAAAATAAAAGGAACTACTGCCAAACTTTTCACTGATGACTGACTCTGAGAGTTCTGAATCTTTATTGCCTTATTTTTTGCCTTATCTTTATTACCTTCTGAATCTTATTGCCTTAAAAGTAAGTTGAAGGTCCAGTATTTCCCTAAGATGCTCTGCCATTGTCAGCAAGATTAGACAAGAATGAATTCAGAATTCTGATATCTGGATAAAGTGGTAATTGAAACAGAGTGGGAACATAAATTCAGCAGTTCTCCTTTTGTTACCTTTTAAAACTTGGAGATGTGTAGAGCATTTTTAAAAGGTGAAGTACCTTTCCATCTCCTGCCAACAATTCTGAGGAAAGGGCCATTTAACTCTTAACTGATACCTCCCAGTAGGACATGGAGTAGTGGAGGCTTTCCATTTTGAGGTTTTAGCTTCACCAGATAGCCACTAATAAGATCAAATCTTGGAATCAGAAATTGGCATTCTTAGGATATAAGGCAAAAGACTTGGTAGTGTTTGTAGGGTTTTAGCCTAAGATTTTAAAAGTGGTTTTGAAGAAAGGAAATAATTTCTCTGGTGTTTAAATAAGCCCTAAGTTTTAAGAGAGAACTGAAAACTTACCATACAGATTACCAGAAGCACTCCAGGAATCAACTCTTCAAAGAAAGAGGGTCAACTGTGAGATGAGATGAACTCTGAGATAAATTGAATAAGACAGAGCAAACCTGTGCAGCAAAGCCTGGGGCAGATAAGTGGTGGGACTACTAATCCCAGAAATTTATCTGGGATGCCAGGATGGCCAGGTTGGCCAGCTTATGAGCTCTGCAGCACTCACCCCCAGGCCTGTGCCACTAAGAGTACATTAATCCCCAAAACTCACATGAATAGCCAGAGGTGAGGAGGAGCTGGGGAGCAAGGTTACCAGGTGCCAGTCACTAGGTAACATGCTGATAAAGCCAGAATCGTGATTCCTCAAGAAGTCGAAGAGAAAAATGGCTGTGGACGTTAAATTCCTAACTGGTGTCTGCTACTGAGGCGGTTCTTCTATGGTAAAAAAGCAGAAAGTAGTTGAAGTGGCCCATGTTGAGCTGAGGTGATCCTTTCCAGTTTTTCCCTCTTCCATGGTGATTCACTGGTTCCCTGTTTACCTCTCTTAATATCAACTTTCAAGTCAAAGTTACTGGCCTTTGATGGCACTGGAGCTTCTTAAGGAAGACAGGGATGCTTTCCTGGAAGGATGTTGTGCTAAACACAAAGACAGACTAGAAGGCAACAGTGATCCTCAAATTTAAATTCAGAAAATCTAATAAATTTAGAACTCAAGGTCAATCCACCCTTAAGACAATGGGGACTCACTGGGGGCCAATGGGTTTTTATACCAAGGGATTTAAACTCCACTCTGCTGTTTTGTGAGACCAAGATATAATTTTTGAGATTCTACTTTTCTTTATTCCAAGGTGCTGCCTGGTTACTTAAGGAAATCTCTCTCCCCACCCCACCCCCACCCCGAGCCGCAATGGTGTGGAGGCGCTGTAGACGGGAAGCGACGCAGCGGAGTGAACAGCCGTTGGGATGCGGACGCCTACCCTCCGAGGGAGCACAGTAGCCAGAGAGAAATCCTGGTGGGTGGGTGGCGCCGCCCTCTGCCAGTTACAGATGCGGAGAGTGAGTGTCCCTCTCGAGGCTGGTTTTGGCTCGGCAGAGCACGTCCTCCGGGGTCGGAGCCCAGATTAGACACTGAGGAAGCGGCGGCACCTGTAGCGTCCAGGAAGGAGCTCGCCGAAGGACTGAGCACCTCTAGAGACCCAGCACAGCCCCCCAGCGCAGAATGTAGCTTGGCCAGCCGCCCGCGGGGTCCTCTGGGAAGCAGCATCCGGTGACGCGCGCCGCGCCCTGCGGAGGATTCTGGGAGTCGTAGTTTAGCGGCGAGTTCGGGCCGGCGCGACTCAGCCCCGCAGGCTCCTAGATGCCTTTGTCGCCCGCCAAGCCTACTCAGTGTTGTTCATGAGGTCGAGCCTAGGGTCCAGGAGGATTGAGTGCGTGTTCTCTTGAGTCTGAGTGCCCCGAAGGAGGGCCGGGGAGGGCCCCGGGGTGGAGGGCGCCGAGCTGCCCAGGGAGGGTCGCGCGAGCGTTCCCGGGCCTCTAGGTGGGCCGGCGCGGTGGACCCCCGGCCGCTCGCGCGTTCGCCGCTTCCTTTTCCCGCAGTCGTCACCAGCGGTAGCGCGGAGCGAGTCAGCATGGAGCCGAAGCGCAGAGGTGAGGATTTCAGAGGGATGCCGCCTGCTGGAGAGAAAAAAGGAGAAAGGCTGCCCTCTGGCTGGGGCAGGCTCAGGAAGAACACACATAACGTCTCCTACTAGTTGATCTCACGTTGGGGTTTAAGGGGAGCCCCCGACCTGCATTGCCCTGCTGGTCTTTCGGGTGCCCTGCCGTCTCTAAGTTGATGTATGCCTTCTTTGCCCACGAAATCGACAGATCTGAACATTTGGCTTTTTGATATTTGTTCTCACAGGAGCCCCATAAGGCTGTTGTGTAGGAAGGAGAATATCCAAATAGACCCATTTGGCAGATGGGGAAAGTGAG